ATGGAAGTTTGCAAAACATAACGATTTACAATTGGTTTCAATAAATCCAGCTATGGTGATTGGTCCTCTTTTACAACCAACGCTTAACACTAGTGCTGCTGCTGCAGAGCATTGGTTTGATTCAGATATTGGGCTAAAACAAGACATTTTGCAGGCGCACAAACGTTTCCTAACGCGATATTCGGGTGGATTAACGTTAAAGATGTACACGTACAAATCAAATGAACAAGCAAAAATGAATCAAAAGAACATCATATTCAAAGAGTTTTGAGTCAAAAATCCATAATGAAACATAAAAGAGAACAGAAAATGAAATAAAAAGTCAATAACCATCCATAAGCTTAAAATGAAACATAAAGTTCACATACTTTGTTCTCTTTTCAAAGTTTCTTTCCATCACAATCCTTCAACTTAGTTTGTCTCATATGATCGGAGTTTGTCTCATATGATCGGAGTTTGTCTTTCGTTATATTAAAACATGAATCTAAAGCAAGTTAGTTGGTTTTAACATATATCAAAGGTTACAGTAATTTGTATAAAAAGAAACCAGAAGAAAAACTTGATATAACTCTTAAACATGATATACCTACATAAACCCATAAACTTAAATAAAAAAACCCATCAAATCCCAAGAACATCAATCAACATATTAAGCTCTCTCGCCTCTATTACGTTCCATAACTAAAGCAAAAAAAGAGCAAAACTTACATAAACCCATAAATTTAAATAGAAAAACCCATGAAATCCCAAGAACATCAATCAACATATTAAGCTCTCTCGCGTCTATTACTCATGTAAGCTTTCCATGAACATCCCAAGAACATCAATCAACATCAATCTGTGTGTATGTGTATTGATATATATTGATATATATGGTTACAACTAACGAGAAGAGAAGAAGAACCTTCGCAAATTACAAATCGAAAAAGAGAAGAAAAACCTTTGCAAATTACAAATTGAAAAAGAGAAGAAGTCGATTACAAACCTGAGATGGTGGTGACCAACTTAAGTTTCGATCACCTTGAGGAGGGAATCAGGAGGTCTATGAGGGTTTGGTGAAGCTTGTTGCGTACTGTCCA